AAAAAAAAAAAAAAAAACCAAAAACCAAAACCAAACCAAAACACATGAACTTCACTGGGGAGTGAAAGAAGAAGAATAATGTTAGCATAATCCCCAGAAAACTTTATAATAAATGGTATGTTTACCTGTTTCTATATATCATACTAAATTATACTGTCAATCACTCTGTAAATTTCTTAACAATACGTATCATACTCTGATGAATCCACTCATGTTTTTTACCTATCAAGTCATTTAGCACAGTTCTTCATCTCAGCCGTACACTGTATCAGGTATTTTTGTGTGTGTGGTTTTTCATTTTTTTTTAAACCCTGTTAAGAAGTTGAAGCCTGCTTTTAGATTGTTGGACCTCATTTTGTTAGTTTCTCAGTGAATCACCATGAAGAAAAAATCTGTGTGCTTATTTCCCAGATAAAAGCCACACACTTTCTTTGGAGCCTGAGCACCTTATAGAGAGATTCAACCTGTAAGTGTAGCTTACAAACCATGAAACGCATCTCTGTATGGAGGGCCACATACGGAGGGCCAGACAGCCCAAGTACCAATTGATACCTCAACATACCAAGTAAGCAGTATGGTGGCCAGAATATCACTATTAGATGGTACTCCCTAATAAAGCAATGTTATAGAACATATACTGTAAATGGAGTCTTCCAGGAAGAATCAGTGTATCTGCCCTACTTACTCATTACTTCTCCTATCATGAAACTTTGCTGTTGGCCCATCACATGTGTCAAATTAAATAGGACTTAGCACAACAATAGTGCTCGGAGAGAAATTTCAAGGAATATTTCAAAGTGCAATGACCAGATGGCTTCAGACTAATTAGAGAGCTTGTTCACTGGAGAAGTAGCTAATATTTTTTGGAGAACTTTATTTCAACCAAAGAGATACAAACATAACATAGAGATGTTTCATAATCTTTTTAACTTCTTCAGGAAAAAGAAAACTAACGTTTGCCTTAAATAATGTTTTCAAAAAAAAAAAAAAAACAAAAGTTGTTGAATTCCTTTTAAGTACACATTACAGAATGACCATTCTTTCTGAAACAGCTAATCACAAATAGCAGTATTTTCCTTGACCTCCAATAACAAGTTAGTGCAACAACGCACATCAGTCTCCTGTGAGGACAAATATTCCAATTCATAACAGAGTTGCAAGAGGTAAGGCCCACAACCCATCAGTTAGGTGTCATGTCAAAACACTACTGACGTGTTGTGACATCAAGAAATAAGGTATACCTACTGAGAAGGCAGTGCCATACCATAAAAGTGCCTAAGTTATTTAGCCTGTGTGAAGATGAGTCAAAGTAACTGTCCTGGAAAAGTGATTATTTTTCAGTTAACAGCTGATTCTTACAATTTTTGTAGCAAAAGTCTGTTAAAAACCCATTTCTTAATTGGCATCTTGAACACCATTTTCAGAGGAAAAGCTGCCCTAATCTGAGATTGTATATCTTGATTAGAAAAACTGTACCAGAACATGATGAATAGCCTTATTTAATCCAAAATTATCTGGAGTAACAACTGCCATTGCTTTATTATCTCAAAACATGTACTCTCCAAAATATCTCTCACTGTTAATGTACTACAGGGAAACATAAAAATTGGGATTATGAGACATTTGATGCCCTTTCCTGATGACCTAGCTATTATCAGCCTGCTGTAAACCTGAAGACTGAAGAGCCAGATTCTGCATTTCCACACGGCAGGGCTCTGTCCTTACATCACAAAGACATAAAGGGAGAACAGCAAGGCAGCGTTGGCAACAGTGAGAAAACAGGAACAAAATATGAGAAGCAAAAGCCAATTTGAGCAACTACAAGGAAGAGATCATCACACACACACCCCCCCCAGACAGTGTGGCTCACATCAGACCTGTCAGGTGCTACCAGCCCAAAGGGCTGGGAGCTTTATTCCCAGCTCCTGTTGCACAACCTTGGAAAAGTCACTAGGATCTCTTTGCACCTCAGCTTCCCCACCTGGAGCCAGAAAAAACAGTGCTTTGCTTTCCCTAACAAGGTCTATGAAATCCACAGAGAAGAGACAAGTATCTCTAAACTGCTCACAGTCTCGGCCTTGTGCCACTTCTGCTCATAGTTCGAACCTGAAGTACAATTTAAAGCCGACTGTTGTACCATGAATGTGTTAGTAAAAACAGTAATTCAAAAATGTCATATTTTGCTGCATGTAGGTGCTGTCAGGCATAGCAAACCAGAAATAACTACCATGCAAACTAACCATCGCATCTTCAAAACTCTACATCAGTTCAGAAGCAAGTACCTATTCATGCCTTTATTTCAGATTCACTGAAGAAAAGAAGTTGCCTAGGACTCCTACAGTCACAGAGCTTAGCCTTCCACCCTTCAAAGCAAACAGGACAAAATCCACTAGTATCATTTAAGACGGTAAATAGCTATTAGGTTATGAGGTTTACTTCTAGCAGACATGCATCTGCTTGGGGGAAAAGAAAGGAATGATGTTGCTTGTATAACCACTTAGAACCTCTGCTCTTGAGAAGCTTTGCGAAACAGTACCAAAAACCTAAGTTTCCTGTGTAGCTGTGAACCCAAGAAGAAGTGTGAAGACAAAAGAAAGATCACATCCAGAATCTGAAGTTCTAAGGATATCTTTATTTTAAAATAAAATAAATAAGAATGTTTATAATCTATACCTTGATGCCAAAGCTGAAATTCTATAAAAACGAATATAAGACTCTGCGTTTTCAGATGTGTACTTGCTAACAGAAGCATTAAAACGAAACATTAATATTTCAAGGCTAAAGTGCCAAATGACAGAACACGACAAATCTTAAATTCTGTTTTACTACGAAAAAATCATACAACTTTAGTGGAAATCTGCAGAAGAAAAACAACACAAACGCTCCCTGAGCAGTTTAAAATGGCATAAACCAGGACTCAGTTGAAAGAGCCAGTCCTGCTCTCCTCCGACTGTGAGCAGATCAGGACTTTGAACCAGCTGAAGACTAACACAGCAAAAGGAAAACCAGTGGTTACCTTCCGCTGGACATGTGCTGCTCCTTACTCGCAGCTGCACAAACACTTGTGCAAGTACAAAGGCAAGGGAGAACACAATGGTGGAAACCATTGACTAGGTGAGAGCTATGCGCTTCCTCTCTGCAGGTGGTCAAAGGCTCGTGGAGCTACAGCACTGGGGTGTGGTTTCACATTAATACAAAGTTAATCTTAAAAAAAGAAAATTGGCTGCTACAAAAAGTGAGATTATCCTTCCCCAAAAGTTCCCTGCTGTGCAGTGTCAGTGCCTCTCCCAAAATGTCACAACCTACTACTTTCCCGTCAGATCTGCATGCTGTTCCAACTGACTCTATGACTTCTCCATGGTCAGATTCAAGACACAGAAGGAGTGGGTGGAAGGTGTGAAATCTTTAGCATTATACCACATTCAGATCACAGTAAGAGTGACAGGGAACCACATCCTCATCTTAAACTACACGGCTCCCAACACTGGAAGTCATGCATTCTTAAAAAGAAGTTACATCTTCAGACTCTGTATTTCCCATAGAACATTCATTTTTATTAGATGCTACACAGACCCATCACCTTTCAGGGTTTGGCTGAATGAAGCTAAGCGTAGGGCCACCTTTGCAGATTATTCTTTTAATATGATTCTTCTGCAACTGCACATTTACAGACAACAAAACCATACATACATGCATAACATACATACCCACATATGCACACAGAAATTTTTCAGAAGTGTCTAAACTTAGAATTCAAAAACCCAGCGTAGGTACTGAATTCCAGCATCACAGTGATATGCTTACTCCTCTGTGCTAACCATGGATTTATGAGCCTATTTGCAAGCAGTTGATTCAGCAAAGCTTGACAATTCTCAATACACGTAGAGCTGGTAGTGCCACAGATTATAGTTAAAATTATATTGTTAAATTAGACTCACTGTCCCCTGCTTTGGGTTTTCTTTTCCCCAGCTGCTTCACCAAACTTTAACCATTCAAGCTGAAACATACGGGTATGCAGATTTTTATTCTTTGGATGTCTTAGGTAAAACAGATCAGCCCTTTCCAAGAATAATTTTTTAGAAGAATTTATTCCCTTCTTTTTTCCTGATCCAATGCTGAAACCCCGCTCTCATGTTGTTAATAAATTCAAGTCCCCGGATTTTCAAACAAGTGCTTCAAGTGCCTGAGACGTGCCATTTGCTGTCATGAGGCTTAACCAAACAGGACCAAGTGAAGGGCCTTCAGAAAAATCTCAGTTTTCACATGCCCTGTCAGGGCTCATTAGCGTTTGGCAGATGACTGCTCCGAGGAGCTCATCGGCGCCGCGCCTGGAAGCGGCAGCGCAAGAGCTTTTCCCACCGACCAGGCTGCCGGGCACACGGCTGGAGAGGAGGCCGGACCCCCACCCCGCCGCCCCCGGACCCCCACCCCGCCGACGGGGCCTCTCCCCCAGGGGGGCGAGCAGCTCCGGGGCGGGCACGGCAGGGAGCAGCGGCCGAAGGCAGGAGCACAGGAGAGTGACTCAACACGGGTGCTCAACAGCCCGTGTCCGAGACGCCTTTTTTCTGTTGGGTTTTTTTTTTTTTTTTTTTTTGGTAGCACGCACAGAAAAACACTTGTGCCGAATGTCCCGAGCGCTCCAGAGCGGTCGGCACCCGCTCATTTAACGAGTATCTCCAAGTAAAGTCTTCAAAGCCACGTCTACCCCACCGGCACGCGTCTCCCTGACTCATCAGTCCCTGGCGCGACCGCAGCGAAAGTTCCCAAATTATCTTTTCGCCTCCCGCGGGATCCCGAAAACCGTCTTTCCTAGCGCCGTTCCCTTCCCGGCTACCGAAAGGCGGCGGGGAGGCCAGCGCCGCCGGGCACCCGCACCTCACCGCGCCGCACCGCACGGCGCGGAGCCCAGCCCAGCCCAGCCCAGCCCAGCCCAGCCCAGCCCAGCCCAGCCCCGCCGGCGCTCCCGCAGCGCATCCCGCGGCCCCGCCGGCCGCCCTTACCTTGATGCCCTGCTGCTGTGTGGTCAGGGTCAGCTTGGACTCGTCCAGGAGCAAAACTTCGCAGTAAAATTCCTCCGGGACCGCGCAGAAACAGCCCATGCCTGCTGCGATGGCCGGGGACGGGGCGGGGAGGCGGGAAGAACCCCGAGCGGCGGCGGAGAGGGGCTGGGACGCGCCCGGCTCCGCGCCCGGCTCCGCGCCCGGCTCCGCGCCCCCCCCGCAGCGGCTGGAGACCGGCGGCTGCTAGGGCGCAGCGCCCAGCGACACGGGGCGGCCCTCCGCCGCCATCCCGCGGAAGAGCCTGGACGGGGGGTGCCGGGCGCTCCCTGTGGGAAAAGGGGAGGAAAAAGACCGGCGCCTTTTTAGGAAGGAGCGCAGGGCGCAGCCCTCGCCCACGGCTGGCTGTCACGGCGGCTCCCCCGCCGCTGCCGCCCTGGGGAGGTACCGAGCCGCCCACCCGCCCCGTCCCCCGCCCCGTCCGCGCACGTTTCCGCGCGTCCTCTTTGTGTGGAGGAATGGGCGCCGAGGGAGCCCCCGCCACCGCCGCGCCCGGGGTGGGGCGGGGGGGGAGCGGGGTGGGAGCCCCCCCGCCCGGCGAGCGCGTTCCCTCCGGCCGCAGACCGCGCTAGCGGAGCGGGACGGCGGCGGTGCCCGGCGGGCGCGGGGCTGGCGTCCCCCGCCGGCCCGCGGCCATGGAGGGAGGGGGCCGGCAGCCGCTCGCCTCCTCCCCCGGCGGGGGCGGGGGGACGGCGGGGCAGCGCCGGGCGGCTTTGAGGCGGAGGCCGGCAGACGGCACCTGCCAGGCCGTGAGGAGTCGCTGCCGCCCGCGGGCTTGGCTGCGCCCCGACCGCCCGGCACCGGCACCGGCACCGGCACCGGCACCGGCACCGGCACCTCGCCGCTTCTCACGGCACCCCACCGGCATCCCGGGTCCGGAGCCGGGCTCAGCAGTGCCGGTTGCCGGCGGTGGGGCGCGGGCGATGATCCCGGTGCAGGTCCGGCCCCTCCCCGGGTCTCTGTCCGCGGCAGCGCGGGCGGCCGGCGGGCCGCGTTGGGGAGGGGGTGGGCGGGCGGCGGCGCTTCCCGCAGGGCCTCCGGTCGGGGGGGGCGAGTTTTGCCTCCGAGCTTGGCGGGGCAGGGCTTCGGGAGACACGGGCGAGGTGTCCGGGGGAGGCTGACTGTAAGGCAGGAAAGGTTTTCTCCCGCGTGCTGTTAAATACCGAGCTTGCCACGGGTACAGTTAATTTAAAAACCAACAGCCCTGTAGTATTAACAAAACAAAACAAAACAAACAAAAAAAAAAAAACACCACTGAAGAAAAGGTAGAATAGAACAGTATTTGCAACTGCTTTACTGCTTTTGCAGTTGCTGTCCGGAGTTTCTGGAGCACACGCCAGTGTCCACCTTTGTATTTTAATTGCTGCACGCATTTATATTCTATGATTTTTCCCCCTCAGGCAGAAAGTTAAGCCTTGATTCCATAAACGCCTGTGCATTTGCTTAAGTTGGCATGCATGAGTCGTCCTACTGAAGATCATACAAAGTTTGTATATGCAAATTTAAGAATATGCATAAATGTTTTGCTTATGATCGTTAACTTGCTCATATTGCATAAGAGAAGGGCACAAGGAGATTTCTCACTTGACAAACCCTACTAGGTGTGTAGGTAAGTGGCACAAAGAATGGTACCTCTGCTTTTAAACCCCAGCCTTCAATGAAACTCCCAGGGAGAATCACTTTCCACAGGTGGTGTTTCAGCTTGGGCAGTGGGGTGTTGGGATCTCTCTATCCATCCTGTAGCTGCAGAAACAGTATTCCATGAATACTGTGAAGATCAGAACAAACAAACAAACAAAAAGCATTATGTATGTTCATAAAAGTACAGCTTTTTGAACAATTTACAGAATATGAAGTCTTGCAAAAGCTTAAGAGTTCAATTTCCTAGCCTTGTTTGTTGGGCAATGTATACCTGATGAGAATGTCATCCAGACAGCACAAGAAATTGAGAGAAATTTATTTCTGGTTTTCTAAACACATTTTTCAAACACAGTTCTTGAATCTTTCTGACAGCGGATGGTTTTCTAGATAACAGATGGTTCCTTTTTCCCTCTTTTTAGTCTATTTAGATCTATATATCACACACACGATGACATAAATTACCCCCTAAGTCAGTTAAGGTCATTATATATGTATAAATCACTGATTAATCTAGTGAGAGGGAGGGCTCGGTGAACTCAAAACTTGTTTTAAAACCCTTATGTATAATTTTTAAATGGCTCGTATAGCTACATCGTGATCCTACAGATGAGCAGTTTAAACCAAGAATAGTCTTGGTTATAAGTACAAGTGAACTATTTCATATCTTCCATTTTTGAAGATCCATTCCTTGGTACTGCATTTTAGCTGATTGGTCCACAGGGATTATGTAAAATACGCACTTGTGTTCAGCTGATGCCAGTGTTTGGAGCACAGAGCCATTAACATACGAACTTGTCTCCTAATGAGCTACTGCCAATAGCTAGCTGCTGATTCAGTTTCAGTACCAGAAACTATGATTTGAGGTAAAAGAACAGGGAGGGGGTCCTGGACTGAAGAAGTGAGAAAATTATCCAGGGGAGCAGAGGAAGAGAAGATGAGATCTATACTAGGAACAAGTGCGAGTCCTGAGGAGCTCAGGAAAGCAAAACAACTATTATTTATAGGGTCAAAAATGTAAGGCCCAAGCTTTTCTTGGAGCTCCACAGTACATAAAACCAGCCCTGCCTCAGTATTTCAAGTATCAGGCCAGCTCACAACTTGTGAGAAACATAAGATAATCATCTGTTTTCCAAATCCATTAGGAAACTGAGCTCCTTTTTACTTCTCTCTACAAGAAAAAACACGGGTCAAGCACTGCAGAGGAAAACTTGCAGACATAAGCTGTCATCGCACGAACACTCATGGACATGTTTAACTCAGGCATGTAAGTACAGGACCAGGGCATAAAGGCATTTTTGGCCATTGCCTGTTTGATGAGGTATCCAGCGCAATTCACTGCAGCCACTATGATGCAATACATGTTCATTAAAATGATCAGTTTTACATGTAATCAAGTATTTTCCATGAGGTCGTATAAACAAGACACTGAGCACCACAAGAACTGCTGTATATGAAGAGACCTACATCCATATTCTGACGTATCAGCAAGGAGACGAACTGCCCAAAGGAAATGGGTCGGCATATCTGATTTCTCACTAATTCTTACACAGATTTGCTCACAAACATTTGCTGCCAGTAGATGAACAAGTAATAAGAGGCATGATGGTTTTACCCATTAGCACTATCACTTACCTACCACTGTTATTTACTGCTCTGTAGAGATGCAGTTCCTGTATTTTATCCATGTGGGCTTCCATGGGATGAGTGAAAATTAAAAGCAAGCCACAGTGCAACCTCTTAATCTTCCTCCTCATGTAAAGACAAATCTCCTGCACTCAGCTTCTTGCTCACACAGTGAGCAGAGAAAAGCAGTGAGGTCTAGTGCAAGTTTAAAATGGAAGCAGAAAGCAACTGCACATACTCTCTGGGCTAACTGTGCAACCCTGAATGCATCTTCTTTTAAAGAAAAAATTCCTACCAAGGGTACTGTTCAACAGTTACTGTGCAGACGGGTCTGGGGTGTTTAAAGGGAAAATAGCATACAACTCCTGCAGCAGCAGCACTGCTCTGCTCTGATTCCACTCGTGCCCACCTGCCTGTACATCACTGCCCCCAGGTGTCTACAGTCCTTCCAGAGAGGTTCTCCAGATGTTCAACATGCTATTTGTGACTCTTCCACCCAAAAAGAGGACAAAAGCAGGCAATGGAACAAGAATAATTTCCACATAGCATTTTACAGCATTCAGAAGCTGAAGTTTGAGTGTTTTACAAATGTGAATGAATTCACATTTCTCACTTTATTGATGGTTTTACCTGAAACATGCTTATGGGTGCTATCATCTAATGATTTCTCCAGACCCTGTGTTACTAATTCATATCACACATATCTGCATTCCCTGCACAGTAACAACCCCCAGTCAAGAACACTGTAAAAATAAGTGTATTGATATATTGATCAGTTTTGTGTTTCCTCCAAAAATGTAGTGACTTGACATTATACTGTACACAATACACTTAGAAAGCCCTTAAAGTAAGACATACTCGTCAAGACCACTTAAATATAAGATATGTTAAATTAAGGCCAATACTCAGATCCATAATGCAGCGATAACAGAAAAAAAAAAAAAAAACAACAACTTAAAAGGCCCCAAAGTACACTCGAACAGCTGGTTAAATTGATTACTACTTCTGTAGCAGTGAACACCTTGAGGGCCTTTGAATTGACATAGCACCAAATAAAAATCCATTGTTCTTTTTGTTCACTTGTTTAACAAGACCCTAGAAGATTGCAGCACTGCAAGCACATGATAATTAAGGCAATCATAAACTTCTTTCACTTTCTGATTTTTTAATAAAGAAAACATGACATTAAATATACTTCCTCCACCCAAAAATATAAAATAAGTCTTTCAGGTTATTTATTGTAAACTATAGAGCTAAAATTAGGAACTGCAAAATCTGTACAGATCTATCAAATAAAAAAAAATATCTGTCTTTAGCTACTGTTTATTGAATCTAATTTTGTGTGTGATGTGGTTTTACAAAGTCTCTGTCAAGGTTTTGACAAGTTGCCCCTATGCAAAGAAGAACCAGATGATCCTGTTTTATTTTGCTTATGCTCAGCTTCCTCGGCAGAACTTAAATATGTTTTAATAGTAAAGATAATTGGGTGGCAATATGTAACAACCTAACTTATGAAGAGGAAAAAAAAATACATTCTCTCTAGGACTTGAAGTCATGCTCTGACAATTTAGATTGGTACCTTGTAGCCTAAATCAGAAAAATAGAGGCTGTGAAGATCTCTGGACATTTAGGAGGTGAGCTTCCTGTGATGAAAAGCATCTCTTTTTCAAAGAATACTATCTAATTGATAAACTGTCATCTTTCTTAGTAAAACAGGACTGAGTAGACCCATGCTCAAGCATAGAAAATAAAAGATTATTGTCTCCAAACTAATGCACTCTCCTACCAGATTAGCGGAGATCCAGAAGTATATCTTTGGAGTAAGACAATCAGCAATGATGTGCCAAAACCTTCATGCCCAGGGAGCTGGTGCTATGCCTGTTACAAGGCACTAGATATACTCTGGTATTCTTATAAAAGGCAGTTCTGAATACGCTTAGTGGAGCATCTTTTATCCCAAAGATAGGATGATATCATGCTGATTACCAAATTACAAGAGACTCGGGTAATCAGGCGGTCTGGTGTTGTTTGAGCCCCACACTGTTCGAAGACAACAGAAACCCTTTTTTGTCTGTAATTATCATCTCTTTTTTTCCTCTCCCCCTCTTTCTGAATGCAAGTTTTGTGGGGCATCATTGACAAGAGATCCTCAGTTCTGTTTTCCAGGCAGTCGTTAGACCTCTACACACCATGGAAATAAATCCAGGGAAATACTAAACCTAAGAAATGACTTAGGCAAACCAAACATAGGCTGAAGAGGATTCCCCTAGCCAGAGCTACAAGTCAGTTCTGGGAAGCAACCAGTCAAGACCTGGTTAAAGTGACACTGATGCCAATTAAGATGAACACTTTGACAGGGAATGTCTCTCATCCATAAAAGAAAGACAGTGCTTATGTAGACAAGCCATCAGTAGGAAGCTCTGATAGAGAAAACTACTGACTACTGTTATGAAGTTTATTAAACTCAGCACCACGTACCTTAATTTTAAAAGTCAGGTCCAGATTTCTTTTTAACGGTTTTTAGATCTTTACTCTGTTTGTCTTCTGATGTCTGGA